GATAACACTTGGAAAGTGAATTTTACTTGCCTTCATTTATAATTCCGCAGTCTTAAAGGATGCTATGAAGTGTGTTAAAATATTAGCAAAGTTCATTCAGGTTTGATGGGCTTGCTTCTTGGGCTTATTCATTAATGGCTTCGTCTACAATATAAAATGTTGTTCTTTACTTTCTGTGTAATCTGCCTAGACAGAAAAGATTCTGTTTCTTGCCAGAATAATTTTCTGTGCTGGGGCACCTGGGTGGCTCAGTTGATTAAACATCCATCTCTTAATTTCTGCTCAGGTCATGATCTTAGGATCATGAGACCCTTATACATTATGCTATGCTCACTACATGTAGAGCTACCATCTGTCACCATACATCACTATTACAATTTCTGCTTTACTTTTGAATGATGTCTTTGCTGTATATAGAATTCTTGCTTGACAGTTTTTTCTTCCAACATTTAAAAGATGTCCCTCCATTTTTTTCTTGCTTGCATAATTTCTAAGAGAAGTGTGTTATGATACTTATCCTTGTTCCTCATAGGTAAGGTGCATTTTTTCTTCTGGTTGCCTATAAAATTTTCTCTTTGTCTTTGGTTTCCCGAAGTTTGAATATAATATGCTTACATGTGGGTTTTTTGGTATGTACTCCATTAGTGTTCCTTGAGCTTCTTGGATCTGTGGTTTGGTGTCTGTCATGACTTTTGGAAAAAACCCAGCCTTTCTTTCTTGTAATATTTCCACTGTCCCATTATGTCTCTCTTCGACTTCCTCTGGCATTCCAGTCACGCACACACCATTTGATGGAGGGAGGGATGGAAGAAGGGGGAGGAGAAAGGAAGAGAAGAGAAAATACAAAATGAGGGAAGCAGCGAGATGATAGAGAGAACGAAGGAAGAAAGAAGGGAGGGTCTTTGAAAGAGAGAAGCGCAGGGGAGAAGGGGGATGAGAGAGAAAGAGATGAGAAGAAAAGAGAGGGGGAATAGAGGGAGGGGGTGGTGAAGAGAGACAGGAAGGAAGAGAAGAAGAAAATGAGGGAAATAAAGGAAGGATAATTCTCCAAATGATAAAAAAATAATTCTCAAAATAGATGTGTATGTGTCAAAGATTATTTAATCCATTAATGAGGGAGCCAGATATAAACAAAGCTGGTTCAAAAGACAAATGAAACAGTAGGATTTTTTTATAGGAAAAAAAAGAAGTTCTGAGTTAAATACAAAACTGGCTAATGTCTGATTTAATGGCATTATTATTTTTTAAAAATTTTTGGTTGAAAACCACCTTCTCTACCAAACAGAAAAGACTTAGCAGTTTTGTAGAATTGTAAAAAGCTTAGACCCTGATTAATTGTATAAACAAAGTAACATTCCGTTTTTGGAATGAGATTATCTTTAATTGGACCTGTTAGAAAATATGCCTAGCTTGACATGAAAAAGTCCCATAAATCATTTTTTCTTTATTTGTGTTTTGAATAATTTTTCTTAGCAGAAGAAAAGAAATTCAGAAGACCCATTCACTATATTTCCCACTGTCCAATAGAAAAATGATCCCTATGCCACATTCACCATCTAGAATTTGGATCCTAAGATTCTACAAGTTTATTTTGGTTGTGACTAAGAGCAACAGGTATGTGCCTGCTATACCTTCCTGCTCCTGATGAAAACATCCAGAAGAAGGTGAGAGGTCATCCTGCCCCTCTCCCCACAGCTCTTCCCTCTTTTAAAGCTCACCCCCACTCCCAACTAGAAGAAGCTGTAGATCCCTGAAAGCTGAAAATTGTAGAATTCTGAAATCCTCAAACATTAGAACAACAGACTCTGAGAACCACAGAATCTTAGAAAAATGCCAACTTGGAGAGGCTGTTCAGCTCAGTCTTGGAATGATCCCATAAAACAATTCCCATAATGGGTCTTCTTAGACAATGCATAAAGATCTCCAGATCCTTATCTTGCCTTCTTAGAAAAAAAATATTGAAAATTCTAGGTATTTTCAGCTTTACTTCAGCCAAAAGAGAAGCCAGTAGACTTCTCCAGGTTTCCATGTCCTTTCTCCACTCAGCTTTTCCAGGTCCTGGCTCTGTGCCCACTGGCGCTCTACTTTTCATTTCAACTGATATTTGTTAAGTGCTTGTTGTGTGCCTTAACTCACTGAATAATCCCCCAAACCCCAAAAGATCAATACAATCATTTGCCCCATTTTCCAAACGGGAAAACTGAAGCACAGATACTGTCCAAGGTGTATTCAGGGAATCTTAGGATAACAACCATCTGATGGTGCCAAAAACCTCACATTGGTTGAGCTCTTTATCCTGTGTTAAACCTGAAAAACCCTATGAGGGAGGTACTATTGTCATCTCTGAAATGCAGAGGAGGAAGGCTCCAAGAGAGAGGCTCATTTTCCTAGGGGCTTCATGTCTGTCAGTCTCCAGACATGTTAGAGTGCTGCCGCTTGTATAGCATTGTCCATACGCCCTATCCTGTAAGCTGGACATTTGGGTTAGAAGGTACCCTGCTTGTCAAGCATACAGCTCAGTGCCTGGCACAGAGATGACAATAAACAAATAATGACATCCCTGGTAGCATCACAGCATTTCTTGGTCCCAGAGGAGAGGTGTGTGACTAGGCATAAAATGATCCAGGCTCCATTTCATGCTCGTGCCCTGTGAAGCCCAAATCATTCTCTCTCCATTTCACTTTGCTCTGGGTTTCTCTCTCTGTATCTCTTTGTATTTCTTTGCCTCTGTCTCGCTCTTCATCTCCACCTCTGAGTCAATGGTTTTTCAGTGATGAGAGAGGGAGGAGAAGAAAGGGAGAGAGAGTGCTAGCTCTCTGGGTTCCTCTCGTCTCTTCTTCCTCGGCCATATGTCTCTTTCTCAGTCTCTAGCTCTGTCTCACTGAAGCTTTTTTTTTTTTCTGTCCTGTATTTTTTTTTTCTTTTCTGATTGTCTCTCCCTGTCTCTGTTTCTTTAGTCTCTTGTGTCTTCCTTGATACCTATTTTTGACTCATTCTCTCTCTCTCTCTCTCTCTACTCTATTTTAATCTCACTCTGGTTCTATTTCTCTGCACCTTTCTTTCTTTTCTTTTTTTTTTTTTAAAGATTTTACTTATTTATTTATTTGAGAGAAAGCATGCATGGGGGGAGGGGGCAGGGAGCAGAGGGAGAAGGACAAGCCAACTCCACACTGAGCACAGAGCCTGACCCGGGGCTGGATCCCAGGACCCTGAGATCATGACCTGAGCCAAAATCAAGAGTCAGATGCTTAACCAACTGAGCCACCCAGGCACCCCTGCACCCTTCTTTTCTCTTTGTTTCTCTCTAGTCTTGGTCTCTATCTCTTGGTCTCACACAACACCTGACACAATCCACCTCTCCCTGTGTTTCTCTGTAGTTATTTTTCCTCATTAACTTACTTGCACTGTTGAGTTCAAGTGCCTCCACTCCTGGCTTCTTGCCCAGAGTGGGATGGCAAGAGGGACTGTTCTAAGGACACCTCTCCTTTCCTGTCTGAATGGGAGGACCAGACTCAACCCAACCATCACAGACAATTAAGGGACTAGTCCTGAATGGATGTAAGTATGTGTGTGTCGTGGGGGAGTTCAGAATGGAAGGGAGAAGCCAGAGCTGGAAGGGTCCTAGAAGGCAGCCTAGAGCTATGTCTTTTCTTACTCCCAGAAAAGACATCTTAGCAGCCTCAAAGACCTAGAAGGTGGTGCTGTGTGAGTCGTTCAGTTTTCCCAGAATCCCCACCACTTCTTTAGGACACAAGATGCCTTAACTCAGCCATCCAGATCTTACTCCAAAACTGGCAGCTTTCCTAAGGGATTTATTTTCCAAGTCTGAGAATCTGGACACATGAGAAGGACATTTGATTTTGTTTAATAACATGTATAGTCAGGATATAATACCCTGGAATTTTGCTTCAGGACAGTAAAGATTTACAAATATTTGGTACAAAAAGAGTTGAAAAACCATTTATTTAAATTATTACAGATAGCAATCAGTATGCCATGATTCTAGAGATGGTCTTCCTCTCTGGAGACTGGGGCTCAGAGATGGTCTCTATCTTAGACTTTGAAAATCAATGTACACACACACACACACACACACACACCAGCAAAGTCCTGATAAACCAACACAAGTAATCTTTGATTATTACTATTTAATATCACCTTGAGTAGAAACAAGAGAACATGTTGAATAAAACCCTTTCTGGCCCCCTGAGTGGCTCAGTCGATTGAGCATACAACTCTTGGTCTAGGCTGGGGTCATGATCTCAGGGTGGTGAGATAAAGCCTGACATTGGACTCTGCACTCAGTGTGGAATCTGCTTGAGATTCTTTCCGCTCCTTCTCCCATCCCTTCTGCTCCTCCCCCTGCTTGCACTCTGTCTCTCTCTCTCTAAAAATAAATAAGTAAAATCTTAAAAAAAAATAAAACCCTTATAATTGAGTTATTTCTTTTGTTATTTTAAATCTTCATCTTACTGTATGTTTTTAAAAAAAAAAAAACGATTAATTGGGGTCTGGCAAAGAGAAAGGAGTCATATTTGTTCTCTACCAAGACTTTCTAAAACAGTATGGTTACCCTATTTTTGACAGATTCCAGAAACTGAGGCCAAAAGTGTTAGGTCACTCACCAATGAAGAAGAGGTGGAGTTGAAATGTGAACCCAGATTGTCTGATTCTTGAATGCAATAGTCTAGCTATAACTAAACTGCCTCCCACATTCTACCAAGACATGTTGAAGTAGGGGTTGAGCTGAGAGACTAGAAATATGAAGAAAGAGGGATGGCCCCAGTGGATTTCCCTGGGTGAATTCAATCCATCTTTATTCAGGTGGGAGATTACAAGTTATATAACCACCCCCCCCCAGATAAAGCAATATCCTCTCTAATGGCATCCATACCCGGAAAACTTGAATCTCAGGGTGTTCAGATTTCTGCACAGCTGATTTCTCAGAACATATTTAAGCAGGATCTGGTTGCCTGGACATAACCCTTCAACCTGACACCATGGAGCTAGGAGGGGCCTTCACCATCTTTCTGGCACTCTCCTTGTCTTGTCTACTCATCCTCATTGCCTGGAAACGGAACAACAAGGGGGGGAAACTGCCCCCTGGGCCCACACCAATACCCTTCCTGGGGAACGTGTTGCAAGTCCGTACTGATGCCACTTTTCAGTCTTTCATGAAGGTAAGTCTGACTACTCTCACAGAGCTGGAAGCAACTAATTCCATAGACATATGTATAACCTTGTAACATCTAAAACACAGACTCTTGGAAACATAGACTTCATAAGCCATAGAATACTGAAATTCCAGAATCTTAAATGCTTGGAAACAGAGACTCCTGGCACACTGGAAATTAAGACTTTCACAATCTCAGACTTTGGAGTCACAGTACCTTACACCCTTAAACACAAGAACTCATGGACTTAGAACTTTGACACTCAGTATCATGAAATCTTAGGGTTTTAGAAATTGAGCATTGCAAAAAGAGAAGCATAGATCTTGGAGTCCAACTCATTGAAGTCCACCATTTTACAGATGAGGAAACTAAGGCTTGTGGAGACGTTGGGGGGTCTTGCCCAGGATCACAGGAGCCAAGGCATTTGTGCCTTTTTCTCAATAGTCCTTCCAAGACCAAGACTTACCTTTATCTGTTATTCCTACATTTGTACTCTCTTAAAATTCCCACCCTAAAGTCCTCAATTGATCTGTACTTGGTGCTCCAATCAGCTCCCTCCTCTTATGTCTTCCTTCACTCCCAGCTCAAGGAGAAGTATGGCCCAGTCTTCACTGTGTACATGGGTCCCCGGCCAGTAGTTGTTTTATGTGGACATGAGGCAGTGAAGGAGGCCCTGGTAGACCGAGCAGATGAGTTCAGTGGCCGCGGAGAACTGGCTTCAATAGAGCGAAACTTCCAAGGTCATGGTAAGTAACAACAACAACAACAACAAAATGATTATAATATACTTCCTATGTCCCAGGTTCTTTGATAAGTACTCTGCATGAATCATTGCATTGACTCCATTGAGAGAACTATTCATGTCCTACTAATTTTGCAAATGAGGAAGTTGAGGTTGAGAAAGTTTGGGTAATAATCACACAGTAAGTGGAACCATTTTGTTTTGAACCCAAACCATCTGACTCTTGAGTATCTGCTGCATTACTTCTGTTTTTAGTGGATTAGTGACACTGTGTACCCACTGAAGCCCTTTCAGCCAACCTTACTTCTTATCTCTCTATACATACATACACACCCAACACATAGGTCTCTGCCACCTCCATTTAGGTAGATATCTTTTTAGTGTGTCCTATACATCCATCTCTAACTGCTCACACTCTTCAGTTCCAAGAAGCCTCATGCTATTTTTTCCATACTTCCATCCATCCATCTATCCCTGTCTATTCATTCCATTTATCCACTTTTCCATTGATCCATATATCCACCAAAAACATCCATTTATTAATTAACCCTTCTATACAAATATCTTTCTAATTTATCTGTACATCTATGAATTAACTCTCCATTTACCCATCTATCCATCATTCCATCCAACCATTGGTAACCCCTCTATTATTCACCCATCAATTAATCTTCCAATCCATAAATCTTTCCAACCATTTATCCACTCATCTCAAACTATCTATTCATTAACCCTTTACTCATCCATTGAGTCTTTTATCCATCCATCTATGAGTTATTCCAGTCAAAAAACTCTTTCTTCCATTCATTAATCCACTGAAATAATTTCATTAAATTTCCAAACATTAATTATCAATCCATGCACATCTGGTAATTTCTAAATGTTTCTTACTACAAGGTAGGTATACTGATGTACAGGTGTGAGCTTTTATGTACATGTATGCATATATCTAGAGAATCCAAGTGGTATATAGAAGATAAAAGTAGTTCTTCTTTCCAAGGTACTGTAAATGGCATTCTACCTACACCTCCCTCTACCTTCCTATGCATCCAACCTTCCTATTTATCCAGTTATAGGTCTTTATCCTGTAAGAAACTCTCCTTGATCTCCCTGAATCATTCCTAGCCTGATTTCCTTTCCCTTCATCTCAATCCTAGACTGTTTTTGAGGGTCCTGTAGAGAGGGAACCATAGTCTCTCCATCAAGCCTGGGAGGTTGGGAGGGGCTTCCCTGAGACCAGAGTCTAGAGTTTTCATAATTTGTCCCCATCCTTGTGTAGCACAGAGGGGAGGGGAGGCAGGAGGCTGACACGGAGATTCTGGCAGGTGTAGCTCTGGCTAATGGAGAACGATGGAGGATCCTCCGACGCTTCTCCCTGACCATTCTTCGGGACTTCGGAATGGGAAAGCGGAGCATTGAAGAGCGGATCCAGGAGGAGGCTGGCTTCTTACTAGAGGAATTACGGAAAACCAAGGGTATGGGGAGGCCACACGGGGCAGGGCTAAAGGGTGACTGAATCCAATCCTTGCCCCCAAATAAGGTCTGGAACCAATGGGATTTAGAGGAAAAAAGACAGGACTTGTATCCATGACTGAATGATTCCCAATCCTATGCTCCTAATCATTGTCTCCAACCTAGACAATTTCCACCATCCAGGTTCTCCCATCGAACCCACCTTCTTCCTGAGCCGCACTGTCTCCAACGTCATCAGTTCTGTCGTCTTTGGAAGCCGCTTTGATTATGAGGACAAGCAGTTCCTGAAGCTGCTGCAGATGATCAATGAGAGTTTCATTGAGATGAGCACACCTTGGGCACAGGTGCCCACCAACCACCTCCCTGCCCACCCCCAATCTCAGTTAACTAAGTACCTGCCTATACCTCACTTAATGCTCCCCCCAACCCTGGGAGGCAAGTAACAATACACCTGGAGTCTCCAAGAAACAAATGGACTCATCCAATCCTCAGACCCAGTGCTGGATGTTGAGCCCAGCTACCTGACTCCAGACTCAGCCTATGTTGGCCCCAGGTGCCCATTGCTGACAAACCCCCTTTGTCTATTCCCCACAGCTATATGACATGTATTCTGGGATCATGCAATATTTGCCAGGAAGACACAATCGCATCTACTACTTGGTAGAAGAACTCAAGGACTTCATTGCCTCTAGGGTGAAGATCAACGAAGTATCTCTTGACCCACAAAACCCTCGGGACTTCATCGACTGCTTCCTCATCAAGATGTACCAGGTATCTCTTCCCCTTTCCCCAATCCTTGTCTCTCATCATCCTATTCCCTAGCACCTGCAACTTTAACCTGCAAACATGTTGGTGACAAAAGAGCAAGCACTGTTTCACATGGTTGACTTTTATTTATAGATGAGATATAGAAACTGTAAAGGTATACATAAACTCTTATGCTTTTATTTTTTTAAAAGATTTTACTTATTTATTTGACAGAGAGAGACACAGCGAGAGAGGGAACATAAGCAGGGGGTGTGGGAGAGGGACAAGCAGGCTTCCCACTGAGCAGGGAGCCGAATGTGGGGCTCGATCCCAGGACCCTGAAATCACGACCAAAGCCGAAGGCAGACACTTAACAACTGAGCCACCCAGGTGCCCACTCCTATGATTTTAAAATAAACTTTGAATCTAGAAATTTTAGGAGCAAAGATACTTAAAACTTATACCTTTTAAATCATTTGTGATTACAACTGCCAGAGACTTACAAATACAGAAAACCAGAATGAGTCTTTACAGTCTTAGAATTTGAGAAGCTTAGACTTTAAGAATCTGAGAAGCTTAAGAGTTTAAGCTTTAAACTTAAAAGTCTTAAAGATGTAGAAATTTAGAAGCTTAATACTTCTATATCATAGAGTCTTAGAATTTTAGAAATTTATGAATTTTTGGGGGGCGCCTGGGTGGCTCAGCTGGTTAAGAGTCTGCCTTCGGCTCAGGTCATGATCCCAGGGTCCTGGGATCAAGTCCCACATTGGGCTCCCTGCTCCTTGGGAGCCTGCTTCTCCCTCTGCCTCTCTCTCTCTCTCTCTGTCTCTCATGAATAAATAAAAATATATTAAAAAAAAAGAAATTTATGAATTTTTTTGTTATACAAACCTCAGCACTTGGAATTTTACAATTGCATAGCTTAATGTCCTAGAACTTTCAAATCTCTACTTTTTTCTCCTCTCAGTCTCCCCACTGTCCACTCCAATCACACTGGCCTCCTCCTTGTTGTTCCTCTACACACTGGGCACATTCCTGCCCCAGGACCTTTGTTCTGGCTGTTTCCTCTCCCAGATAGTCACTTGGTTTAGCCATCTATTGTGTTTTCACAAAGGGTGACAATAAGAAGATAAAGACAGAAGAAAGTGATTCTATGTCCTATCCCTCTTGTTTTCAGGATACAAATAATCCCCACACAGAATTCAATCTCAAGAACTTGGTCCTGACCACACTCAACCTATTCTTTGCTGGCACAGAGACTGTGAGCTCTACACTACGTTATGGATTGCTGCTAATGATGAAGTATCCTGAGGTGGAAGGTGAGTGTCCACCTGAGCTGCTTACCAGGTGACTCCCATTCCCAACGGAGAAGAAGACATAATCTTGAAACCGTAGAACCCCATGGCCTTATACTCTTCACACTTTGGAATCTCAGTCTACAGAATCTCATAATCTCTGACTCAGAAGTCCATTTAATTAATCTTCTACTTGGTGCCTGTGTTAGTTTCCTAGGCTGCTGTAAAATTACCAGAAATTTAGTAGCTTAAATTAACATAAATCTATTATCCTACAGTTCTGGATTTCAGAAGTCCACACAGGATTTCACTGCGTGGAACCAAGGTAGAATTGGTTTCCTTGCCGTTTCAGCTTCAAGAGCTGTATTCTTTGCATTCCTGGGCTTATGACCCTTGCTCCATCTTCAAAGCCAGCAGCATAGCATCTTCAAGTCTCTCTGCCTCAGTTGTTACATCTCCTCTGACTCTGACCCTTCTGCTTCCCACTTATACAGACACTTGTGATTATATTTAGGGCCAACCTGGATAATCCAGGATAATCTCCCCATCTCAAGAGCCTTAACTTGATGATGTCTTCAAAGCCCCTTTTGTCCTCTATGGTAACATGCACAGGTTCCAGGGATTAGGAGGTAGGTATCTTTGATGGACATTATTTAGCCAACTATAGTGCTAGAATCCAGTAGAATCCATCTCTAATAAATTGCAATCTGGTCTGGTTGGGTAACTCTAGTGATGAGGAACTCATTCCTTCCTTAAGGAAAACCCCCAATTTTGGCATCTCTCCCTTCTAATGCAGTTCAAAACAAGCCAACAAATTTTTCCTGGTATAGACAATGGGAGAAACTAACTTATTTCCACTCAGAATTTTCTAGCTGCTCCTCCATTGTCCAAGTTGTGTTTTACCAAATAATAATAATAACTAAATATCTAAATAATCAGATATTTAATGGACACCTGCTATGTGCCTAGGCACTGTCGTAGTTACTTGCACGCTGGATTTTATGTAAATTTTACCACTCTATGAGCTGTTGGACCATCACATCCATTTGGAAGATGAAGAAACAGAGGCTCAGAAGGTAAAGTTATTTGCCTCAGGAAGTGCAGGGAGGGGTAACTGTACCAACAGTGTTCTTAATTTCTGTTACATAATTGCTATCACTTGCTTCAATCCTGTCCTGGTTATGTATTGTACCTTTCTCCCATCCTGTCAAAAATCTGTGTATCACAGCCCGTCTGGAACGAGGACACTGCCCTGCTTGTTAGTGCTTTCAAGATAAAGACCAAACATCCCAGAGGGCACTCAAGGCTCCAGGCTGCGTGCCTCCCCGTGGTCTGATGGGAGCACCCCACCAATGTGTCAGGTGTTAAGAATAAAGAAGCAATGCAAACACACATGGTGTGCTCCCTCAGGATCCACAGGTACTAACGGTACAAACCCATAGCTGAGCCTTGGCCTCCAGAAACACCTCCTGTGTCCTTGTTCGCTATGTTTTCTGGCCCCTTCTAGCCAAGATCCATGAAGAGATTGACCAGGTGATTGGACCACACCGGATCCCGAGTGTGGACGACAGAGTCAAGATGCCCTACACGGATGCTGTGATCCATGAGATACAGAGACTGACAGATATTGTACCCATGGGTGTCCCCCATAATGTCATCCGGGACACTCATTTCCGAGGCTACCTTCTGCCCAAGGTAGAGCTGGGTCTCACTGTTATCACTTCTCCCTCCACCTCACTCCTCTCTCCTCCTGGTTCCTTGCCCCCATCCTCCAACACAGATTTCTCCTAACCATCCCCATTTTCACCCAGGGCACTGATGTGTTCCCCCTGCTTGGCTCTGTCCTCAAAGACCCCAAATACTTCCGCTACCCAGATGCCTTCTATCCCCAACACTTCCTGGATGAGCAGGGCCGATTCAAGAAGAATGAAGCCTTTGTACCTTTTTCCTCTGGTAGGTTTCTATGGTCTGAGTCCCCCCCACCCCCACCCCAGGAACATGCTAGATGTGACCCCCCCCATCACTGGTCTGTATTTGACATTCAGGTCTGAATGGGAAGTTGAATGCTATTTCCCAGAATCCCAGAATCATGAGATATTAGAACAATTGACTCTGATAATTAGAAAAGTTATAGCACTAAACAGGTATCAGCAAACTTTTTCTGTTAAGGACCGAATAGAAAATATTTTAGTTTTCATCAGCCACAGTGTCTCAGTCTGAACTATGCAGTCTGAACTATTCAACTGCCCCCTTATGCTGCAGAAGTGACCATGGACAGTATGAAAATGCATGAGAATGTCTGTGATGCCAAAAACCTTTATTTATGGACATAGAAATTTTAATTTCATCGAATTCACACATGTCACAAAATACTATTTTTCTTTTGATCATTTTCACCTATTTAAAGATGTGAAAAGCATTCTTAGTTTTGTTAAAGAACAAAAATTCAGTTGAGTAAATTTGAATATATAATTGGCTTTATTAAATGATCCATGAATCAAGCAGCATTCCATCCATAAGTAGAGGGGAGCCTCAGGAGTTGCAGAAATAGAAGGTCTGTATAGGGAGGAGAGTGGGCAAGAAGTTATTAGCAAAAGAAAAGAAAGGATTGTTATAGGCAAGGTAATCTTCCCCTAGGGGAAGGGCAGGGTTTTTTAAACTTAAATTTAATTAATTAACATATAGTATATTGTTAATTTCAGAGGTAATGTTCAGTGATTCATCAGTTGCATATAACGCCCAGGGCTAATTACATCACATGCCCTCCTTAATGCCCTTAACCCAGAGTTAAGAGTCTCTTAAGGTTTGTTTCCCTCTCTGATTTCATCTTGTTTTATTTTTTCCTCCCTTCCCCTATGATCCTCTGTTTGTTTCTTAAATTCCACGTATGAATGAAATCATATGATATTTGTCTTTCTCTGATTGACTTATTTTGCTTTTGCGTGATGCCGTCTAGTTCCATCCATGTCATTGCAAATGGCAAGTTCTTATTAGGCGGATTACCTCATCTTCCTTTAGGGGGTGGAGAGGGCCCATGTGACAGATCACCTCATTGGTGCTGATCAAAAAATTCCCAACTAACTGGTTAAGACTACATTTCTGGGGGCGGTTAGATATTGAGCCTGGTTTGATGACTTGGCCTAACATAAGTGACTCCATTTGGGGCCTCTGGTTTTCTTTTCTTTTTTTTTTTTTTAAGATTTTATTTATTTGACAGAAAGAGACACAGCAAGAGAGGGAACACAAGCAGGGGGAGTGGGAGAGGGAGAAGCAGGCTTCCCGCGGAGCAGGAAGCCCGATGCACCGCTTGATGTGGGACTCGATCCCAGGACCCTGGGATCATGACCTGAGCCGAAGGCAGACACTTAAGGACTGAGCCACCCAGGCGCCCCTCCGGTTTTCTTTTTTAACAGTTTGCAGGCAGTACAAAAATAGGCAGCAGGTGGATTTGCCTAATGAAAGGAGCTTGTGGCCCATGACGTAATACCTTAGAAGAGTATTTTAAGTATAAGCCACACTGAATCAGTGCAGTGGTTAGGAAACAGGGCCCCACCCCACCACTTACAAAAGGTGGAGTCATAGGTGAGTTACTTCCGTTCCCTGCCTGTAAAATGGAGACCCATCTCTCCAAACCATTGGAAGGGTGACCAACAAATAGTAAACATTATTTAAGGGTGAGCTTTCTTTTCTATTTTTTTTCCCCTCACCAGCATCTGGCACCTAGCAGGCATTTGATAAACCTTTGAGAAATTTAAATGAACAGAAACTTCAAATTCGAGGATTTTTTAGAACCATTACATCTTGGGATCTGATGGAATCAAGCCATCAGAGAAGTAGGGGCCATGTGTTGAGACCCTATAAGTGGCAGATCCTAGCGGAGCCCACTGAATCTTTATAGTAACCCACAAAACAGGTATTATCATGACCCCAGGGATGCTGAGGGGGGCACTGAGGGGTGATGGGGCCAGAACGCACCCCACGCCCTCATGATCCCAGTACAGATATGAACCGCCCTCCCACTCTCCCCTGTGCCCACAGGAAAGCGCATTTGCCTGGGCGAGGCCATGGCCCGCATGGAACTCTTTCTCTACTTCACATCCATCCTTCAGAACTTCTCTCTACACCCGCTGGTGCCGCCCGCTGACATCGATATCACACCCAGGGTCTCAGGCTTTGGCAACATCCCTCCAACCTACGAACTCTGCCTCAAGGCCCGCTGAGTGCCCCCTACTGGGCGCGGAAGGAACCGTCGGAGAACAGAGTTCTGTCTACGGATACAGGTGCACCACCTCATCTCCTCTAAGGTGGAGAGGAGCTCAGAACAGCTTAAATTCTCACAACAGCTCTAAGAGAAGGCACTATTCCTACTGTCATGGGACTGCAGGTCAGGGAGGTTACCTGCAAATATAGTGTATCGGCTGCATCAAAAGGAAAGGCAATTGGATGAAAAGCAAAAAAATGCGCTGTCCAAGATTTCAGCAACAATCTGGAAGATTTGTGTTCTCATGTTCCCCTCTACGGGTGCTTCCCGTCTCCACCAAATTCTTGTTGTAGATTATATGTCTTTATGTGATAGTGACCCAAATGTAGTTCACCATTCTTCTCCCTGATTATCATCTTCCACACAAAATAAAATAAAATAAAAGACGCCAGGGTATCAAGGCTGTTGCGTGTAGCAGGCTTCTTATGTGTTGCATGCACCATCACTGTAGGGCATAGAAAACTACTTAAAATGACCTTTTAGACATCCCTGTTATTAATTATCCTTCCTAGCAATCCACCACCAGAGATTTTCCACTTGATGGTCCACCTCCGTTCTCAACCATCTTGCTGGCTCCTTCCTCCAACCCCCGTCAATCGTCTCTCCCTCTAAACCTACCTTCCTGATCTAGAGGGCACTTCTTTCACAACTCCCAGTTCCAAATTCTCCCCATTCCATTTTGAAGAATAGTTCAGCCACCCTGACTTCTATTATTCTATTTCTGAACTCCATCAACTTGCTCAGTGGATGAAAGCTTTCCTTCATACTTCGTTATATTCAACCAATGTTTACTGAATACCCAACATGTACCAGTACCCTCTTCAAGTACTTGGGATCCATCAGTGAACAAAGCAGACCAAAACTCCTGCCCTGGTGGAGTTTCCTTCTAGTGGGAGAGGTAGACAATGAAGAATAAACATAATAAATAAATAAATGATATAGTATGTTAGAACAGCAGAGATTCCAGGATTGGGATTATAATCGGGACAGGGTAGATCTCACAAGGTGTTGGAGGAGCAAGTTATGCAGGTATCTGGGAAGGGAGTGTTTCTGGCAGGGAGATAAAAAAAAAATGGCAGAGCTGTAAAGCAGGAGGCTGTGTGTGTGTTCTAGAATCCACAAGAAGACTGTGACTGGGGTGGAGGAGGAAGGGTAGGGGAAATGGGAAGAAGGCATAGCATTAAAGGGCCAGATTCTGTGGAGGTTCCTGGACCTCAGTAAGGACCTGGGCTTTTAGCCTGAATGAGATGGTGGTTCCTGGTGAGCACAAGATGACATACACTGACTGACATATTTTAAAAGCAAACTCTGACTGCTGCAGGAAGAATAGATTGAGGGTGGGGAAGCAGAGATACCTGTTGTACAGGCAAGGAGAATTGAGTGGGTTTGGAATCTGCTATGAAGATGGAGCTGGCAGGGTTTGCTGATGAAATGGATGTGGGGTGGGAGCAAAAGAGGGTCAGGGATGAGACCTCAGCCTTTGGAATCTCTCCCTTAACCTCATATGTTCCAGGTACATGAGCCCCCATAAGAGTTGGCTTTGTAATTTTAGGGAACATGAACAGACTGTGGATACTTAAGTATATAAGGCTGCTGGCTGCTGTGAGTTTATCAATAAGTTCATATTATTATGTGAATTCTGGAGACCCGGGCTCAGAACATGAGTAGGGAAAAAAAGAGTTAACAGCCAGGGGCTGCTGCCGCCACTCTCCCCCCAGTGACCCCTGCAACCCTGGACACTGAACCATGGCTGTGGGACTCTTGACCCATTGCCCCCACTGTGGACAACTTCCTGATTGTATTTGTCATTTTGTGTTACTTCCTCACGATTCAAACTTCCAGGCAGAACTATCCAGTCAATCTCATGTTAAAGCCTTAGGGCTCAGGATTTGGTGAGAAAGAATAAATAGTCCCTCCAGCTGCTGTGGTGCAAAGCCTTGCCCCTGACCAAGAATCTCACATTAGGAGATTCTCCCAAAATTGGAAGGGATTTCGAGATGGGGTGGGCAAGAAATAATAAATGTCATTCCTTACACACAGTATGTCCATTGGGTCTTCTGGGATGCAGAGGCTGAGTTGAAGTTAAGAGGGCAAGCATTTCATGGAAGGCTAATGCTTGTGAATGATAAAAGAGGGAAGAAACAGAATGGGTCAGAAAGGTCTTCAAACCCAGGTGTAGATGTGACACACTTGTGGAATGAAAAAAGAAGGAAAATTGGGTAAGAAGAGACCCAGATCTCCATGCAGAGCTGACAGAGTCTCATTCCATCAAAAAGTACATCGAGATTGAAGATTGTCTTTTAGTGGTGTCTCATGTTGGGCACAAATTGTCATGCCCTATGTCCCAACTGTCCTCAGTCTCTGACTGGGGCTTTCTTGGAAGAGTGTGGACTCAGCTCCAAGCTGAGGTAGATCCTGATGGTGCTGCAGCTGGAGGCTGTCAGCTCACTGCTCTCTTAGCAGCTGAACATCAAGTTCCTGAAGGGGGATCTGGAGGCACGTCTCCATGCCCACCACAGACATAGACGTACAAACACACATCATATAGGCTTACCGCTCTTTCCATGAGTAGTCTTTAGAGCTACCAATACATTTAGCAAGTATATAGCCCAATGGTCATTACAGATTCTTAGCTGTGAAAATTTTATGCCGGATTTCCCTGTGTGCAAGTCCAATACATGAAATATGGAAAAGGATTGCTCATCTCCCTCTGAGTGAAGCACAGAAGAGCTCTAGACCCTCAAAGACCCTTCACTTTCTCTCATGAGGAGACATCCCCAGGGCTGTCAGCAATTCCAGACACATTCCTGCCCTCAGTCCTGCACCCTGTTGGGATCTGCTGACATTAAGGCGACCAGGGGCGAGTCAGTCACTGACCACATGGCTCACAGTCCAGCATGTAAATTACCGGTATCAAGGAAAACCAGTAATTAGATGGGTTTCATCTAACAAAAACAAAAATCAGAGTTATAGAACAGAAAGATGATAGAGGCAGAAGGAAAAACTAGACAATGTGGGGACTATGAACTTCATTTTTCTTTTCTTGAGTGGGCTGCTGACAAACTGGCAGCAGAGGCTGGTTCTGCCCTTGGGCAGTTAAATGGATCATCAATAAAAACAAATTAAATTCTTTATTGGATTGTCCAGGAGATCTTGAGACTTTATTTTTTTTTTTAAGATTTTATTTATTTATTCGAGAGAGAGAGAGAATGAGAGATAGAGAGCACGAGAGGGAAGAGGGTCAGAGGGAGAAGCAGACTCCCTGCTGGGCAGGGAGCCCGATGGGGGACTCGATCCTGGGACTCCAGGATCATGACCTGAGCTGAAGGCAGTCGCCCAACCAACTGAGCCACCCAGGCGCCCCCAACTGAGCCACCCAGGCGCCCGAGATCTTGAGACTTTAAATCTGTAGTGTGTGAAAGGCTCTCTCTATCCATATCTGTCATGTCCTTAGCAACTTCATGTTTGGTTTTTATCATTTCCTTATCAGAATTTCCCACCCTGCTCCTTCATGAGACACATGTATTGCCATTCCTTTTTTTTAATTATTATTACGTTAGTCACCATACAGTGCTTCATTAGTTTTTGATGTAGTGTTCCATGATTCATTATTTGCAAATAACATCCAGTGCTCATTGCAATATGTGCCCTCCTTAATACCCATTATCAGGCTAACCCATCCCCTCACCCCCACCCCTCTGAAGCCCTCAGTTTGTTTTCCAGAGTCCATGGTCTCTCATGGTTCATCACCCCCTCTGATTTACCCCCCTTCAGTTTTTCCTTCCTCCTCCTAATGTCCTCCATGCTATTCCTTATGTTCCATATATGAGTGAAACCATATGATAATTGTCTTTCTCTGCTTGACTTATTTCACTTAGCATATGTATTGTCTTTCTTCTCAAAATTTGTCAATTTAATGATCAAGAAAAGGTGACACACTATGGTTTAAGTTTTTATTTCTTTGATTAGTAATGAGACAGGACTTTTGTGTGTTTATCTTTGCATTTCTACTTTAAAGGGTTGTCAGTTTATATCCCTCACCCATGTACCTACTCTATATTCAGAATTTTTCTCATTGATTCTATAAACTTGTCGTGTAGTGAAGATGCTGACCTTTATTCTTGGTTTTGGATAAAGAGATTTCATGATGCATTTGCCCTTGAATTCATGGGGTTTTTTTTAAAACAATGAAATTATTACTTTTGAAGTCAAATTCTTTCCAATTTTTTGTGATTTGTCTAATTATCTCTAGTTTTAAAAATTTCTTCTCTGTACATACCTTTTGACCCAACAGTTACACTTTAGAAAAGGGTGTAAAGATGAAAACACAAGGATGTTCATTTCAACTGTATTTATAAAGCCAAAAATAAGATTAATAATCCACATGTGCATTTTCTAGCAGAGTAGCATGCATTGGTTATCAATAACCAAGGGAGCAGAACACTGTGCACTAGTTACCAATCCCAGGAAAGGACTCCAACTACATGAAGGGTGGGAAAAATCATCACCATTACAACCACCAAGAACAGAAGTCCAAACGCTTCTGCCAACTGCATTTTGGTATCAGAGTTGCTAAGAAAAATACAATGCAGTCAAGTACTGGATGGAACAATGGTGAATTGACATAGAGGAGAGACAGCAACATCAGCTTTAATAGTGCCCATTCATCCCTCATAGCCAGGAGGTCTCTTCGTGCAGCTGACACAGGGCAATTCACCTCTGGCACACCTCTCTTGTGCTACATGGAAAGACCCTGGCCCCATCCTGTGGGGACAGATAGAGCAGTGGGGTTGGCTGGGTGCCGTATGCTTAAGCAGAACAAAGGAGTACTCATTGAACTTAAACAGGAATAGATATTCTTAGCCCAAGTGATAAGCCCAGCACAGGCTGTGTAGGCTCTTTCTCTCTTGGTAAGGAAGTGTTCCAGGCCCAAGAATCATTTGTATGTGGCTGAGCAAG